AGCTGGAGCCTAGCGTTGATCCTGGCGCTTCTGCTGAGCCCTGACAGCCCCGAAGAAGCACTGATCCTGGCACTTCCGGTGAGCCCTCACAGTCCCGAAGAAGCACTGATCCTGGCACTTCCGGTGAGCCCCGACAGCCCTGCAGCTCCAGCCATCTCTCGCTCAGGCTTGTGTGGTGCTGCCACCGGTTCAGCTCATTCCCCTCCCCCGCTACCACTTTTCTAGGATGGTCGCGTACCACCTGCCAGGTGCCAATGTACCACAGGTGGTACCCGTACCACTGGTTGAAAAGCCCTGATCTAGCCCAACCCCCTGCTCAAGCAGGAGACCTGCTTATACCGTTACGGCTAAAAAGGCTGTCCAGTCTCTCCTTGGAAGCCTCCAGGGATGAAGCACCCACAACTTCTGAAAGCAAGGCATTCCACCGGTTGAGTGTTCTCGCTGTTAGGAAGTTTCTCCTGAGTTGTAGGTTGTTTCTCTCCTTGATTATTTTCCACCCGTTGCTTCTTGTCTTGCCTTCAAGTGCTTTAGAAAATAGGTTGACCCCCCCCCCTTTGTTGTTAATTGCGAAGTCGTGTCCGACCCATTGCGACCCCATGGACAATGTTCCTCCAGGTCTTCCTGTCCTCTACCATCTTCTGGAGTCCATTTCAGCTCACGCCTACTGCTTCAGTGACTCCATCCAGCCACCTCATTCTCTGTCGTCCCATTCTTCTATTGCCCTCAACCTTTCCCAGCATTAGGCTCTTCTCCAGGGAGTCCTTCCTTCTCATTAGGTGGCCAAAGTATTTGAGTTTGAACTTCAGGATCTGGCCTTCTAAAGAGCAGTCGGGGTTGATCTCTTCTAGGACTGACTGGTTTGAACGCCTTGCCCCTCTTTGTAGGAACCCCTTAAATATTGGAACATTAGTACCATATTGCTTATACTCTTCTTTTCATTAAGGTAGATATACCCAATTCCTGCAAATGTTCTTCATATGTTTTAGCCTCCAGTACCCTAATCATCCTTGTCGCTCTGCATTCTTGTAAACATCTTTTTTATATTGTGGTGACCAGAACTGGATGTAGTATTCCAAGTGTGGTCTTGCAAAGGCTTTGTAAAGTGGTATTAGAACTTTGTAAAGTGGTACTAAACAAATGCTACACATATGCATTGTGATGTCTTATTCTCTCATTCTTGGGCGTAAATGGATACGCAGCTCAAAAGGATAGCTGCAAAAATTGACGTTCGTTTAATGAAAATACCCTACTCTGATACAAGAGATCCCTTCACACCTTTTAGAATTTGGCCTCCCTTTTACCTTTTCCCACAGGACATGGATAGATTTGCTAGGAGTTGCTTCCATAGACTGGATTTCCCCAAATGTACCGCTCAGGGAATTGGAAATGTTGTCATGTAAGTCTCCTGGAAGGCACCAAGTTAGAGAAGGCTGATTTGTAGGATTGAAAAGATCTTAAATTCACAAAATGGAAGGATTGCAAAGGAACCTAGAGATCATCTAGTCCAACCCTCTGGTGACCTTGCTTTATTTAGTTTAGTTTAGTTTAGTTTTATTAAATTTATACCCCGCCCTTCTCCCGGAGGACTCAGGGCGGCTTACAGCCAGTTTAAAAACAATAATACAATACAATACAAAATTTAAAAGTGATTAAAAATAAATATTTAAATAGGCCGCTTCTACTAAAANTTTTGTTAAAACCAATTTAAAATACCCCTAGGCCAGTCCTGCCCGCTGAAATAACCAAGTCTTGAGGGCGCGGCGGAAGGAGGGGAGATCCGGAATCACCCGGATCTCTGGGGGCAGCTCGTTCCAGAGGGTGGGCGCTCCGACAGAGAAGGCTCTCCCCCTGGGGGTCGCCAGCCGACACTGCCTGGTTGACGGCACCCTGAGGAGGCCCTCTCTGTGGGAGCGTATCGGCCGGTGGGAGGTAATCTGTGGCAGAAGATTTAGTTTTATCGGAGGTAATCTGTGGCAGAAGATTTAGTTTTATCGGTGTTATTTAATTAATTTTATTAAATATTTTAATGTCCAACCACAGCTCTCTTTTTTTCCAGACTAAACATCAACATTTCCAATAGTTCCTGATAGATTTATTTACTGTAATGTAAGGCGTTGCTGAAGTCTGGACACGCTCTAGTCTAGTCCGTGTTTCTCAACCTTAGCGACTTTAAGATGAGTAGGCTTCAACTCCCAAAATACCCCAGCCAGAGAAACACAGCACTACTAGGTGGTCATTCATAGCATGCCTTTCCCACAAACAGGACACAATAATCTACGTACAGCCCAACTAATGCAGGACAGGGAAAAAAATGACTTCTCTCGAACTTAATGTTATAACCCTTTTTGCATATCAGGATTGCAGCTGCATGGAGAAAACGACAGTACATTCTTCTCTAAATGCTCAATTTTTAATAATCCTTTCCAGAGGTTTGCCTGATATTGACGTCAAAGTCACCATTCTGTGGCTATCCTGATCGTCTAGTTTTCTCTTTTTTTGGAAAATAGAAAAAAAAATAAGATGGCAATGTTCCTAAGTTAAAATCATTTTATGACTGTTTTCATTCATCCTTGGCACTTGCCTTTTGCAATGAAACTGCATCAGTCAATAAAAATGATATTATAACGGATATGATACATATTAGATATGATAGATGTGCTAGAAATGATAGACAGACAGACAGAAAGACATGCATGAATGCAATTGGATTCAGGGCTGGATTCTGGTTGGGCCCTTCCAAAACTTTGATTTTCTTCTGGTGATTTTTTTGTTGTTGATTTGGAGGTATGATTTGGGTCATTGTCATGTTGAAAGGTGAAATTTCTCTTCATTTTTAGCAGATGTCTGAAGATTTTGTGCCCAAATTGACTGATATTTGGAACTGTTCATAATTCCATGCTGACTAACACCCCAGTTTCAACTGAGGAAATGTAGCCTCAAAGCAGAATGTACCACACCATATTTCACTCCGAGTATGGTGTAGTTTTGGTGATGCGCAGTGTTTTTGTGCCAAACATACTTTTTGGAATTACGGAATTGAAGTCCAACCTTGTTTTTTCATCAATTATGGAGGGACATCTAGTTCTTGGTAATGTCATTGTTGTGTCATATCTTCTCCACTCATGGATGACTGTCTTCACTGTGTTCCATGGTAAATCCAATGCTTTGGAAATTGTTTTTTGTATCCTTCGTCTGACTGATGCCTTCCAACAATGAGATCCCTTTGATGTTTTAAGCCAGGGGTCTTCAAACTTGGCCCTTTTATGACTTGTGGACTTCAACTCCCAGAATTCCTTGTGCCTGGCTGAGGAATTCTGGGAGTTGAAGTCCACAAGTATTAAAAGGGCCAAGTTTGAAGACCACTGTTTTAAGCTCTTTGCAGACCATGGCTTTTGCTGTAAGAGGCAGCTGAGTAAATGTCAGAAAAATTCTTCTAGAACAGCTAATTTTTTATTCCCCCCCCCCCTAAAATATTTCAGGTTTCTTTTTCAATTGAATTGTAGGCCTTATATGTTATATTAAAGGTGGAAAAAATTCTGAAGTGATTTATCTTGGTTTGATTTTTCTACATCTCAAAAATGTTTCATTTTAACGGGTATGTAGACTTTATATCATAGATAGATAGATAGATAGATAGATAGATTAGATAGATAGATAGATAGATAGATAGATAGATAGATAGATAGATAGATGATAGATAGATAGATAGATAGATAGATAGATAGATAGATAGATAGATAGATAGATAGATAGATAGATAGATAGATAGATAGTGAAGATTTGTTCTCCAAGCTTGTGGGTTGGTTTCCGAACGTTTCGTTACCAGGCTAGGTAACATCTTCAGTGGAGTTTAGGGGATGTCATTGTCAGTGTTCTGTTTATAAGTGCTGCAGGTGTGGATGTGAAGCCCTTATAAACAGAACAGTGACACTGACATCCCCTAAACTCCGCAGAAGATGTTACCTAGCCTGGTAATGAAATGTTCAGAGAACTAACTTTCACCCTCATTCTACACCCAAGCTACAGATATTTGCCACTATTGCAGATAGATAGATAGATAGATAGATAGATATAGATAGATAGATAGATAGATAGATAGATAGATAGATAGATAGATAGATAGATAGATATAAATAATAGATGGTAGATGGATAGGTAGATAGATATAGAAGGATAGATAGATAGATAGATAGATAGATAGATAGATAGATAGATAGATAGATAGATAGATAGAAATAATAGATGACAGTAGATGGATAGATAGATATAGAAGAGATAGATATATAGATAGATAGATAGATAGATAGAAATAATAGATGACAGTAGATGGATAGATAGATATAGAAGAGATAGATATATAGATAGAAATAGACAGAAATAATAGATGGCAGTAGATAGATGGATATAGAAGAGATAGATATATTGATAGAAATAATAGATGGCAGTAGATAGATGGATAGATACTATAGATATAGATAGATAGATAGATAGATAGATAGATAGATAGATAGATAGATAGATAGATAGATAGATAGATAGATGTAGATAGAACTAATAGATGGTAGTAGATAGATGGTTATAGATACTGTAGATAGATAGATAGAAATATAATAGATGGTAGTAGATAGATGGATAGATAGAAATAGATATAATAGATGGCAGTAGATGGATACTGTAGATAGATATAGATAGATAGATAGAAATAGATATAACTAATAGATGATAGTAGATAGATGGTGATAGACAGATAGATAGATAGATAGATAGATAGATAGATAGATAGATAGATAGATAGATAGATAGATAGATAGATAGATGTAGGAGAATAATCTGAACAAGAAGCGGCTTCATTTTCCACTTCCCTGTAATGTTAAGATTTTTATCTTGCGATCTGAAAATTAATGCATCATTTTGAAAAAAGGCGCCCGAACTCTTGAGTCATTAGAATGAGGCTAGAGGAGGGTCGCCTACGCGCGTCCGCATCCTTCGCGGGCGGGTAGCGGTCGCGGGAAGCCTCTTCGGAACGCGGGGAGCGCCTCGCTCTCTCTCTTTCCAGCCGCGAGAGACCCGAGGGCGAGCGGCCTGCCCGAAGCGCGGCCTTCGCGACATTTTGCCCATTCGCCTGAACCCTCTAACAATGGGGATCCCTTCTCTTCTCCCGCCTCATAATCCTTCGGGGCGCTTCCCAGGCTCCCCCCTTGGAGAGCTCTCCACCGGTCGGTCGGCAGGGGTGGAAGGTGGCAGCGAAGGGAAAGATCCCGTGGGGGGGGGGAGGGGAAGGGGAAGGGATCGAGTGGTTCGGAAAGCCGCCTTCCAACACGTTTCCTTTCCAAGCGACCTCCAAGCTCCCTTTCTCCTGGAAGCCGCTTCTCCCCGCCACCCTGAGGCCGGAGAAAAAGGAGCGGCCGTTGCTACAACCAAAGCCGCGGGCTCTTTCCGCGCAGCCGTGGCGTCCCTGACAGCCGAGCAAAAGCAAACGTCAGTTTGTTTAACAATCACCGAGTATAAAACGCTCCAATCATAAGGGGAGGCTCGCCAGGACAGAGCCCGGGCTGAGCCTCTTTGGAGGCCACCCACCCTCAAGTGGAAAGGCCGAGGTCTCCTTCGCCGGGACCTCCGGGCTGGCGTGAAGCGAAAGCCCCGGGAGAAAGAAAGAAAAAAAAATAAAAAATAACCGGCGCCCGTTGCTTAGGTTGGGAAAGAAGCCCTTCTCTTCAGCCCCACGAGCCTAGACTCTCTCTTCGCCCTTTCTGTCGCCATCTCCGGGAGGCATGGCTGACACCTTGAGGAGGTTGATCAACAACGAGACCTGCAGGGTTTTGCAGGAGAAGCTGGAAAGTTGGTATAAAGACTATTATGTGAGTGTGTAACAACGCCGCATTGATACAAGCAGTGTTTTGTCTTTCGAGAAGGCATCTGGGGACGAGGAGGTGGCTGGTGTGTGCGTGTGTGTGTGTGTGTGTTGAGTGTCTAGACTAGAGCATCCTCTATTTTTTTTTTAACACGATGCACTTTATCACTGGACAAGTCACTTGTCTGAAATGGTGTATAGGGTCTCCTGCTCGAGCAGGAGCGGGTTGGACTAGAAGACCTCCAAGGGTCCCTTCCAGCTCTATTCTGATTGAATATTATTTTCCCTTCCGGCGAAGGGAGAGGGGCAAAATATGTTCCTGGGGGATAATGATAAGCTTCCAAGGCGGCTATTCAAGAAGATCTTTTCGGAGGACTTTTCTACTCAAATCCTCTTAAGAGAAAGAAAAAACCCGCCACAATCCGATTCGCGAAGGGCGCTGAGAACCAAGTTTCTGGCGGGAGGTGGATCCGGGCTTCAATGGATCTTGGAGACCTCTAGCGATTTCCCGGGAAAACAGTAACCAAGGACGCTGGATTTCGGCGCCAAGAAGGGAGGGAATGTTGTGGTTGCCACCGTTACAGAATGTAATGGTACACTGCACCGACAACATCTTAGACCGGCGATTATTTGTAACTATTGATTACTCAAGTTTCTTTTCTTCCTCCCACACCCCAGTTTGGCACGGATCGCCCTTGGTCGACCTTGGCTGACCTAAAAAACGCGACCTGGGTGGGGAAAACATCGGATGAAATTCCAGGGCTATAAGCTAGACTAGAAAATTGAAAAAAAAAATCTCCCAGTGATACCAGTGGAAAAATCACTTTGCTACCCTTAGCAACTAGTCCACATGGAGTTGCCCCTCCAGTCACCAGATGGCAGATCCTGAGTTCAGTTTGGACCAGATTTTACATCCTTGGTTTATAGTTCCACAGGCATGCCGTTCCCCTCTTAGGGTCTGCATTTCACCTGGTTGGAACGATATCCTGCAAAATCTTTTTTTTAAGTGTTCGGTTTTTATTCGGCTGATCTTCCGAGCTGCTCAGACCAAATGACTTGGAAACCAGCTCTTTGTTTCAGCCAGCTCTCCTTTTGTTCCTGCAATAGTCTTCTGAGGCAGACTGAAGGTTGAGAATGGAATCTGTCATGTTTTTAAATTTTATTTATATCCCATCTTTATTATTTATTTTATGCCTGAGGGGACTAGAACTCAGAGTCTCCTGGTTTTTAGCCTGGCACCTTAACCACAAGTCCAAACTAGCTCTACCCCTGGAAGTAAATAGTAAATGGCTTAGCAAGATCTGCAATTTCTATTACAATTAACTGTAATCCGTCTTCAGGTCAACCTCAGAGAATGACTGCAAGAACTTACGACAATCTGTGTTGCTCTACCAGGACCTAATCATTCTTTCCTCTTAGTAGCATTTTAATATTTTATTGATGAATATCAGTACCATTTCGGGCTTCTGGATTTATAGTTTTGGGGTGCGTTTGTTATTTTTTGAAATGAGTTCTCCATACACTTTCTTTAAATGCACTAAGATGAGCTGGAGGTAATTGGAAATTAAGGATATGTTTACCCCTACCCCATTGCATCTGCAGTCGCTCAGAGTTTGGCCTGTTGAAATGATAACCATTACACTGTGAAGAGTTCAGAGTTTGTGAAGCTTTATCTACTAGGGCTCATTCACACATGCCAGTCATTATTTGATGCTGCAGTCGGGTCTGAATGAAGTCTAACATTCCACCTCATGAAACCATGTTCCAATAGACTGTATAGATCATAAATCTTTTCCCAGTTTCTGTGGGTGCAAAACATTATTTCTGATTTAATGTTTTATCTAAGAATCTACATATGTCCCACTTCACTTGATTCTCACCAGCTTTCCTGTCCCATTTGATTGTTTAAAAATCATAGGTCAATGGGAAGAAAAGCACAAACTTTACATCGGTAAAGCCTTTGAAATAAAGCCTTTGAAATCCACAAAGTTAGTCATTTTATGAATGAGGGAGTCTCATAAAGCACCCGTTTTTGAGTATGTCTAACCCAGTTCCAAATATGCTGGGAGCAAAAAAATTATTCTCCCTTTTTATGTATTATATAGAACCATGTGGAGTAACTGAAAAATAACATATCGTATTTGGAAAATAGTTTTATTTGCTAATGAAATTAATTAGTGTGAATGTAGACTGATTTTTTCTCTCTCTGCTATACTCTGCTACGACAGGGTGGTTCACATCTTAATCCTTGATTTATTATGATAAACAGTGCATACAGTTCCATGTGCCAGGTAGTCTTTGAGTAACCAAGGAAACTTCCTTACGATCAGTAAGGCCAAAAGTAAGGAAAAAAAAACTTTCTCCACATTTATTATAATTATACCCCTTGTCATTCCTACTCATCGGGAGTGACGTATGATGTAAAATTGTACTTCTGACTCAGATTTGTTCTATTTGCTAAGAATGACTGGTGAAGGAATAATATGGATAAAACTGGATTAATCAAGAACATTTACCTGATTTTCAGATTAACTCATGTAATAAAAATTTGACACTGTGCTGTGAAATCATGGAACTGAACGCCATGATTCAGGGACAGCTGTTTTCGATTCTCAATCAAGCTTGTCAAGAAGGTGAGATTACTTAAAGGACTCCCTGAATATCTGGAAATGTTGAATTTGTCAGACCTGAACACCCTGCTTTTACAAACAAACAAACAAACAAAAAATCCCATCCTGGTTGGAACTGCCTATTTCCTTAGGCACTACCTTAATCATTCCTAGGTCCTTGATTAGGACTTGAATTTTCCACCAGTCTTAGACTATGAATCTTATTGTAGATCGCCCACGCATAATAATGATGACTTTATAAAAGTAAGTAATATTTAAAATATGAAAAATATAAGATCTGACATAATCTTTTTTTACTGAAATTGTTGATGTCTTTAATGGGAAGAATGCATCTGATGCGTTTCGTCAAAGACGCTGATATTATTTAGTAGTAAGTCACCATGCTCTTCCAGATTCAATCTCTTCCTATTGGCCCTCCCAGTCATTTACTGCCCCCCCCTTGACTCTTAGCACTATTAACTCTTTGGATAACCCCATCAACTCTTGGGGGTCTCTATTAATCACTTGGGGTAACCCTATGTATCGTACATGTATGGCACGTGTTTCCGAAATGGGTTCATACCCAATCGTTTAAAGCATTTTGTCATGTGTATTTTTAATTTATCAACTCAGGTGGCCATTATGAAGGTATGGAAATAATAAAATCTCGTCTCCTCCCATGGTTGGGTACTTGCTTTTCTAGCCCTTCTTCTGGAACCACCCTGGACACATGTTCTTCTGTATTACAGGTAATGCTTATTTTTTTTAAAAAAAAATATTTCCCAATATAAAAATTAAGCCAAAAGTTTGCATGGATTTGATTCAGAAATTGTATCTTTTATCATCAAGTCTTTAAAAATGTGCTTGGGTGTTCAGACTTCAAATGTGGAATTTGAAGTTGATTGCAAAAAACACACACACATTTATCTCCGGAGAAATCCTTGTTGAAAACACAATTTTATAACGGATCTTCCTTCTATCAAAGATTCTGCACTGCAAAGGTCACTTTTTAAATCATTTTGTTTGGTCAGTGAACACTTTACACAAAGTGCTAGAAGTTCATCTAATCTATACACGGCTATTTTGTGGAAGAGTTCCCCAGGTTTGTATTTGTGGTTTCACATTTATATATTTATGTTTGAATATCTTAATGGGAAAAGCAATACTATAGTTGAGAAAATGGATTTGACAAGGCTAGGTAAAATGCGCGAAGCAGGAGAAGAATTTCAAATGACGGAGGATTTTACTTAGATCAGGAATGGGGAATCATGGCCCTTTTATGACTCATGGACTTCAACTCCCAGAATTCCTGAGCCAGCCAATTGTAGGAGTTGAAGTCCACAAGTCATAAAAGAGCCATGGTTCCCCACACCGACTTAAACAAATATGGCATGGCTGAGTAACTAAAAAGGTTAAATTATGGCAACTGGTGCAAAGTTTATTCAAACTGAGATGTTATGTTACTCAGCCATATAAATCTACTTGA